GCTGGAACAAAATATATCCCGCTTTGTAATGAGCTTATACTTCGTGGTACGTCGATTCATTTTCTTTTCCGCATCAAATAACGCACTCCTATTGGTCTTTGTCATCATCTGTTCAAGGCTGAATCACAGTAAACGAAGCGTTAGTTGTGAGTAGCAAACAATCGAAACTCGTAAAGTACGTTGTGTTTCTCCATTTGAATTTCGGTTGAAAAGCGTATTGGAGGAATATGCAGATATATACCTTCTGATATTGTGTCTGAAAATGATAGTGATGGGGATAATGACTGCGAAATTACCAATGCAGAAGCTGAATTCAATTTTGATGGTGATAACATAATGCTGTCGGATAAAGAAGATGAGACACCGTTACCCATGGATACATGGGACCCAGAAGATTTGCTACCCCTATCACAGTTGAAGTCAATGGGGAAGATACAATGGTGCAAAATGGATAAGATCACTCTATCAGAAGATTTCAAAGAACCTTTCGGTGTTGCTCAAGATATCAAGGATTTGAGTAATCACCTTACACTTTTTTCTGTCAGTTTATCTTGGATGAAGACATAAACTTCAGTTCAATTCCCCAATCTGAGCGTTCAAACTATCAAATTTCATATTAGAACGATACTGTTGTCCTACTGTAATTGATAAACCTTTTTATTTCAGTGCGGTCTCGTCTGCAGTTAAACAGAATTGCCCGAATCTCTTAGATAGTTATCTTTTGCATCTGTTAACCTTTTTCGCTAATGCCATTCTAATTAAGAGTGTTTTCCCAAGTTGTTGGAAGAATGGTGTGATTATTCCTTTAGCTAAGTGCAACTCCCCTTCGGATTTTTCTGGCCTGAGGCATATCACCATCCTACATTGTCTTTCAAAAGTTGTTGAGATGATCATGAAGGACCAATTTTGCAGCTTCATAAATGATCACCAAATCATCACACCTGTACAATCCGGTTTCAGACCTCAAGACAGCACAATCATAGCTTTATTTTCCATCACCGACGACCTCTTCGGCTGTCGATGAAAGTAAATTAACTTGTTTAGTACTTCTGGATTAAAGTAAAGCATTCGACACTCTCGACTTTGATATCCTGTGCGCAGTTTCTTCGGTTTTTCTGTGAATGTGCTGTCACTGGTTAGAAATAAATCACTTATCGAACCGAACTCAAAGAGTTATGGTGGACGGTATCAGCTCAGAGACTCTGTCCGTAACAGAAGGTGTTCCTCAAGAATCCATCCTTGGTCCTAAAAAATGTAACAAATGATACTCAACTGTACTTCTCTTTTCAGTTCTCCGACATTGATTCCGCTCAAAACCTCATTAATCGTGATCTACAGACCATCTTTGATATTTCATCAGCTCATAAATTAAAGTTAAACTCGAAACAGTCGGCAGTAATGATCTTTGGAGCGAAAATATTGCGAGATATTTCTAAAAATTCTTCATATTAATTGACGTTCTGCGTCTGCATCTTTTGTAAGTGAAGCAAGGAACTTAGGCCTGCGGTTTAATTCTGAACTGCACTTTACAAAACACGCACTGCACGCAAACATCAGACGGGACCTGAATCTCCCAACCATTCGGGAGAGTATACAGACCCGAAATAGAGGAGTCTTCGAACTGGCCGAAACTCACGGAAACCCCCTAGTCAGGGCCGCGGTAGATTATGATATCGACGACCCTTCCCGCTTCAAAAGGCCTCGCATCTCCGCGAGGTGAGGTCACTGGCTAGTAACCTCAGGAAGCTACGAGTTGAACAAAGTTTCAACAAAGAACACGGCGGCGAGAACCTAGTCTCGACCGTGCAACGCACATTTCAGAGTCATAACTAAGCCTATATCACAGGCAGAGAGCACGAAAGAGTCAGGGATGTGAAATCCAACTCGATATAGCAGAAGATAGGGTTTGGTGGACTTGTGGTATTCAAACCACTGTTGACAAAGCTACTGTGTTAGAGAAACATGTCGTGATATATTTTTCAAAAAAGTTTGTGGAGATCAAATCGTGAGGTGTGGTTTATGAAACTTAAGGCAACTGTTTCCAAATTGCGTCTTACTCAACAAACAACTCAAACTAAAATTAAGTGAGACGCTAGTAATTTCGAAACTTTCATATTGCGATAGCATGCGTTACTTCAATCTGATTCCCTACGTCTTCAACGAATCCAAAAACAGTTGCCTTCGTTTTTCTTTTGGCATTCGAAAATTCGACCACATATCACCGGTCATGAAGGAATCAGGTTGGCTGTAACTAGAGACACTCAGGACACTGCACTCACAAACACCCACAAAGTCTTGAACACCGGAATGCTACATTAATTCTCAAATATTACCAGCTTTTCCACTAGAAACAGGTATGTACTGGTCATTCCTGAATACAGGTCTTCTGTATTTACTAGCAACTTCTCATACAACGCAGCTAAATTCTACAACCTCCTGCTCAGTGAATTAAGATCCTACATGTTGAAAAATTTGCTGACCATGGCTCACTCGTTTACGCAAAAGATTTTGTGAGCGAATATTTATTTTTTGAAATTATATGGTTTGTCAATGGTTTCTTACAATTACAGTAATATAGGGAGCTAATCACTGTTATAATCATAAAATTAAATCTGTGAATTTGCAGGTATGCAAAGTTTAAATATTCAGTAACAATCGTATTGAGCTACACAAGATCTACCTTCTTGATACAAAAAAGAAATTTCCATTTAAAATTTGAGTTAGTTATACAATCAGAAGATAAAACAAAAGTGGATAACACACAATTTTAGACGATTTAGCAATGATATGGAAATTAATCCACTTTTAAAGCAGTGTATTGATACACCCATGGTGGGTTTTGTAAAAATTGACATAGTTACCACAAGATTACACTGCTGGTAACGATGTATTTTTTGTTTCAAGGAAAACAAGAAATACTGATTTTGTTATATTGAAGATATTAAATTTAATTCGTTGTCAATGTTTATTCCGTCACCTCTTGTTGCTGAACAATGACACATATTTCGAAATACTACAATCAAGATGAAAGTAGTAAGAATCAAAACCACTTAAAGAGATTTTTTAAAGATAGATGTAAGAATTGAACCCACTTACACGTTGTTTAAAATTTCAACGATAAATTCATGTACTTCATCGATGTCATAAAGGATAACGAAATGCAGAAAGTAAAACGGTCTGGATTGTGTTCATTTCAAAACAGTAATTTTGTTTAAGGGATATCAAAATAAGTTCAAGTTTCTTCAGAGAGAAAATTTTTGCAGGTGCTTTTCGTGTCTCCCACAAGACCTTGCCTTTTTACTTCTCAAGTTCAGTGAGGGATTATAGTCTACAATGATCACTAACACCGTGAGAATCGAAATGAGGATGAGATTTGAAAGGTTGAACTGGAACCAATGGTGGGGAATAAATCTGAAATTTTCATTTTAATTTTTCAATTTTATTTGTTACTTTTAGAGAATTCAATCATATTCCATATTAGACAATAGAAGTCCGAACTAGTAAAATTCACCATGAATCATTGTCAACCTCTTTCAAAGAAATTGGCCTGTTTATATAACACAAATTAGGTACAAATTGGCTGAAAATTTTTTTATTGCAAACTGGCTAATGATAAAGAAATGGCGAAACAAAAGCATGGAACTTCTCAAGAATTAATACGAGTACCGAAGGCGTGGAAATTTCATCTGTTCTGTGGAAAGATAATAAAATAGTAACCCTTCTATCTTCTTTCACTGGTCAATTACCTTTATCGCAAGTAAAACATTTCGACAAAATAGAGAAGAAAACTATAGATATTCCATGCCCCAATGTACTATAGACATATGGGGGGTGTCTACACATTAAATGGTTTGATTGGTCGCTACAAAATTGCAATGCATACTAAAAACTGGTACTAGCGATTATTTTATCATTTGCTCGACATGACAAATGATACATTCTTGATTTTTATATAAGAGAGTCAACACGGGTCGAGGGGAAAAGTATAATAAAAATAATAATTGTTTCTTACAATTTCATACAAAATAAGTCACTTACAATCAATGTACCACTTGTGCAAAATGTAGCAGATATGTTACATATATATTTGTTTAAATAAAAGCGTAATATTTAGACGTGGATTTTTTTGTTATTTTTCCCAAATTCATACCTACATACAAATTACAGAGAAAAACATTTTTTCGACGAAGAAAAAAAAAAANGACGACGAAGATATCAGAGGTGTAAAAAGAAGAAAATCGTCGTTTCCTTGATGGTTTTTAGAGATAGCATTACGATCAGGAGTGTAAGGTATAATGCATTAAACTCTGGGGTAAGCCCCATATTTTGTTACTGATCAGATTGACATTTCTATCGAGGAAACGGATGAAAAGTATAGAACATTTAATATTTGGAATCTCTTGACGCTTTATTATCCCTTTCAAACAAACAGGCGAACATGATCCATTGTTTCAATGGGTTGCCTCCTGTGTAAGTACAAATGAGTATTGTAAAGGCAGTACAATTTGTAATTTACTGTAGATGGCGTCCAAATGAGACCAGTAACTTTTAATTGAATTCCTATTAAACCGCGTCCTTGCCTCCGCTAAGTCATGATCTAGTAATTTCCAACTGGGCAATACTATTTTCTTGACAAAATAAAAAAATAGCAAGAGTACATCATATTTTCAAAATGACAAGGTTCTAAAACACTGGGAACGATAATTCCAAGTAGAAGGTACGCATTATGTAGCTACTGATTTAGCATATAAACCACACACTTTATTCCTCATTCGATTATGAAATCTCTATCATTATTATTTTGCAAGTTGTTGCTATTGTTGTGAATAGGACAGTTGAAAGATAACTCCAATTTTTTTAATCTCTTGAAAACACATTTCCCATATCAGAACAAAAATTCTCTTCAGAGGTTCTGATTCTACGTATAAACGCTTTGAACATTCTTTTTAACCATAATAGTTCAATAATGATGGATTCTGTTAAGGAATATGTCAACTTACCATTTAATTGTAGGAGTCTGATTATCTGAATATGAAACATTACAGGCTAGGTTGAAAGTTTTTTTTTGCAGAAAGACTACTGATGTATCGACCGGTGTAATTTGAACTGAAACAAAATAATTTGTTAAAGATGGATTATATAAGCGCAATTTGCAATAATTTTTATTTTTTTAACATAATGATCGTTATGACATCATCATGCATGAATAAAAATGTGCTCTTCCTTATTTGATTTGATTATCAATGAACTGAAACTGAAAAATTATGAAAATTAAGTCAAATTTTCAGTTCATCGAATCATTCATGTACTCGTATTCCAGTACATGAAATTATATGCAAAATGCCGCCAGAATTTCATGAAGAATTAATTCAAATAAAAAAAATGGGATATTTTCAAATGATTCCAATGAGTAGTAATTTATTGAACGCTTTGTATGAGAATAAAAAAAAATAATTAAGGAAAACAAATAAAAGGGCATCTGAAATAAGAGATTCATGGGACAACCTGAAAGATAGTTGAAAATATTTATCATCAGACATAATTTTAAAGTACGAAAAATCACCCTCAAGCAGTTGTAAATAAACAATCAATAATATTATGATATCGAACTAATATATTATGTTATATTGGGAGGGAACAAAGAGGCAGGATTTATTTCATCGGATCACAGTGGTACTATTTACAACGGGCACGTGGCACGAATACACTAATTCACAGGTGTCCCCAATTTCACCAAAATCGCTTGTGAGTGAGGAGGCATATGTCCTTTTTGATGAACAGGACGAAACTAAGTCGCACCTTCAAGGTGATTTTTTTCTTCTTCTTTTTTTAATTAAATACATTCAGTGAATTGATTTGTATTTCATAGTTTTAATAAAATGTTCATCTTGATAATTGTAAATCTAGTACATTTTTTATCTAAACTATTATATAATATAAAATGAGACATTCAGTACAAACAAATTTAATACAAAAAATGTAGAAAAGTGTAATATGAAATTGAGATAAGTATAGATATAATATAAATTAGTTATACCGGAGACATGAACAAGAATAAACTGTTTTAGAAATGAACGTATCTACATAAACTTCGCAACATTTATAAATGTGATTGAATTTACAGCTTGGCTTTTGTCCAAGAGAAGAAATTTTTTTTATTTCCTTCAAGTTTAAATAATTCATTAAATAGGTTAGGTAGGTTGATAACCAGGCAATACAAGATTCTCAACAAGATGTGTGTACTGTAGGTTTGGTATAGTTTATTATGTAAAACATATTTTTACAGATAGTTAGTACCCTTCGAATTTTTTTATATCTGCAGTCATTTTGCAGTTATTCGATCGGAAATGTTTTCGGAAAAGTATCGAATTCAATTTCCATTTTCATGGAACTAAAAAGAATAGTGAAAATTTCAAGAAAGAATCTTCGTTTTATCGCGAGATGAAAAAAAAACAGTGAAAGTATCAACAGTTCAATTTTTCCAGTTAATGATAACTACAGAGTGACGCCATAAAACCAACGTCTGTCTCATTACAGTTAATGAAACGAATCATGTGTATAATAATATATTAACTATATTTGCTTACTACTTTACAGATTTAGGAGGAGATATGCCTCGTAAAATACAGACACTAATTAGATAAAACCTCTAATTTACACGACGATAATCATTTTAGGCGTAAACTGATATCTACCAAGGTTGATTACCTTAAAGAAAATAATTATATACTAAGTATATTCTTACGTGTAGTACAAAATTGTTAAACACATAGTTTTTCAAATTCGACTTTGGAATATGATTTGATCAAACTTACAGTTTTGGTTTTTTCAGTAGGATTTTCTGAGATGGACATTTTCCAACATTATTTCTTTACTTGTTTTATAAAAAAAAACAATTGCGATTTTTATGGATGAATAATTTTCCAGTATCTGGGATTTATTAAAAACAATTTTCATTATGATTATATTGTTAAGCCGAGTGTTGAACTTTATATGGGATTTAACGGAAATAGGACACTTTGTCCTCCTATTTCTTAATATCTTTATCGTTGATGATACTGTATATTCCACCAGAATACAACGATACAGTTGGAACATAAACACAGCCATGCTCATAAGAAAATACTACTAATACAGATGGTATCAGAGTCCAAAGATTCGTGATCCTTGACCAGGCAGCGCTGTTTAAACCCGCCATAGGTCTTAATAGTGATGTTGGGCTGAAATACGGATGCATTGTTGGACACGACTTTTCCTGAAGGACACACCTCCAATTACCCCCTTTTTGGGATCAACAGAAGAGTTTATCCACAAATATCAAAGATAAACGAAGCTCTCCAAGGCGGACCGCTGCAAAGCCATAGTTTGATATCGATCGCCGATATTCGTTGTCTATTTTTCACTCCAGCTCTCACCACAAGGTAACTATAGATGAAACAAGAGAGCAAAGACAAGGTATTCGTGATTTAACAACAGGCAGCGCTATTTCCACCTGCCATAGGTGACATCAGTGGTGCTAGACTGAACCACGTAAGAAAAAGCGAAGGCATTTTTCCCGTTATCTAGTTGCCTTGCAGTGAAAGCTGCAGTGGAAGACACGGAACGACTCATTTCGGCGGTTATTGCCAAAGCTTGACTTTGATATTCGTGGATTGAGCTTTCTGTGGATTCTACAGATGGCATCTTCATAAGAACAGGTATCATCGCTTAAACTTACTTCAGGCTGCTCTTTTTCCATACTCTTATGCAATCTACATTATCACGATCTTAAAAGCATGTTGGTGTCATATATCAGTATCAGTTGTTTCACACAACTTTACTCAGTTCTAAAGCGATTATCGAACAAAAAGTATGAGATTTTTAAGTTGATGAAGTTCACGACTATATACAAATGTATGAAATTTGGATATTTAATCAGGTAAATGAGAAATTTAGAAAACTTCTTTTTTGTTTTGCGAGGGCTACAAATGTAGGATACTTGTGCAATACTTAAACAACGAATATGTATCCATTTCAGTATGACCTATCAATTGAAAGTCATAAATTTGATTAACGGACGTCACTGGATTATTCCGATAGTAATGGATAGGTGAGGTTGGAATAGAACATATTCGGGGTTCCAAGTCGAACACTCTATCCTTTATTTGTAGCCTTGAAAAAGACAGTTTGTCGAAAGCTCGGAATAGTTAAAAAGAATTTTCTTAGCTGACTTAATACCCGCTATAGGATGTCACAGATTTTTGAGTGTACAAACAAAATCGAAGATAATCTAAAAAAAATAACGCCGCTCGCCGTAAATCAATTGTGACGTGACCCCATGATCGCGCTCAGTTCGACGAGCGCTTCGCGACTGTTCTAGTTAGATGCCGCGTCGCTTCGATATACTTCTAGCAAATTCCCTATTCACTTCGAGAGAATTCGATTACCATATATAAACGCTACCCACACCCCGATCGAGAAGTGAAGTCAAGTCAAGAGACAATGCGGTGCGGATTGAATTCAAATAAGGCGATAGACATTTGAATATTAGTTTGAAGTTCAAGGGTTCGGTTGTATTAACAGTGAAATGAAGTAAAGTTTGATTATTGTACAGTGTAGTCAATTATTGTCAAACCCACGGGAATAAAAGTATCATTTGGTAATTGAATAGAACTGGCCGATACTTGATGAAAATCCGTATTAAATTTCATTAATACAGTTTAGTTTATGATTTTCACTATAAATGGTTTTACAAAAACCGCGACACGTGTTTCGACAGGCAATAGCTTTCTCAAGCTTAATTATTTTACTGATTCAGTTCAACATCAGATCAATACTGGTGATGCCAAGATCATACGCCAACCACCGAGACAACTTTCCTTCGCAAAGCAAGACGAAGCTTCATCCATCGTTAAGGACATATTGGAGGAAGGAATGATCGAGGAACCAAACAGCTCCGGGTCATCACATGTTGTGTTGCTGACTAAGAAAGATGAATCGAAAATATTTTGCCTTGACTATAGATGACTTAATGATGTCACCAGAAAGGACAGTTACCCTCTTCCCAAAATAGATGATACCCTGAACATCTTGGCTGAATGCTGATGGTTCTCAACATTAGATCTGAAAAGCAGGTGGCCGTTTGCCCTGAAGATAAGACTGCCTTTTCCATCGGCAATGGATTATACCAGTTCAAGTTTATGCCGTTCGGATTAAGCAATACACCCGCAACATTTGAACGCTTGTCTCGCAGAGTACACGGTACAACAGCTCCAATAGCATTCACGGTTTTTCAAATACTCAATCAAGATACGTCATTTTTTTCTTGGTTCTTCTTTCTTCCGGAAAATATATTGACAAGGTAGTTTTCTTCTATATCTGAGCGATTTTGCCACGGTTCTCTTTACTGAGTGTTTTTGTGATCCTCTCATAAACTTTATCTATTTGTATAATGTCCTTGAAACATAATCCCACAAAATAATAAACTGAACAATAAACGCAGTAATAAACATAGCGACATGATTAATCCCCGTTTTAATCCGCCAGGGAATATTCCTTTTCGACTTTATGCTTCATTTTCTCATTCTTGCGAACGAGAACTTGTGCATTTGCTAGTTTCATTTTACTGGTCTTCAAAGCGGCAACTTTCTTGGGTGATGTCTTTTTGCAATCTTAATTAACAAATAACTGTTAATTCTGTATCCTCTTTGACTCTACAGCAATTCAGTTTACAATTATTCAAAGGGTTGAAACGGACACAGAAGGGCAATCACAAATATAAAGTCTCAAAAATAAACAATCTTCAATGAATAACTGAGAACCAACATAATTTAGATTCAAATGAATTTAATTTTGCCGATTTATAAAAAAATCTTGTCACTTACGTTTTTATTAATTTTCATATATTCAGTGCTACTAATATTATAAATGCAAATGTAAGTTTGTTACGGTTTCACGTGAAAACTACTCAACCGATAATCATGAAATTTTGTACACATGTTCTTGGAGGTATTAGAAGTAACATAGGATACTTTTTATTAAAAAAAATAATTATTTTTTATGTAAGATAAAAAAATCGTTTGTCAAAAAAATTTCAAAATCTAGCTACTTTAATGTCATCTAGCATT